AGGGCACTTTGATCAGATGGATGGAGCTGACAGGTCTGGTGATGAGCACCCCCAGGCAAATTGGCTGTAATTATCACTGTATCTTCCTTATTAATTCATGGCTCATTCATGCTTCCTGCTTTAACCAGTGGCCCAGGATAAGTGGAAAGGGATGAAAGAATATGCAACTGAGAAAGAGTTTCACTGCTTTCACCATGGGATGTCCCTGCCCTGCACCGCTCACTCACGCTGGTTTACCTTTGAAATGCCATGTAGAACTATTCTGAGGATGAGGGTAGATTTGGGCCAAGACAATGTTTTTGGGGACAAGGGAACGTTAGGATTTAAGTATCATAAGTAATAATTATCTCAAAAATTCCTGACACCAAAATGGACCTCTAAAGTGGTTATATTTTTAATTTTCTTTTCTTTCTTTAGTTTGGAAGCATGTTCCTTTTAACAGCCCCAGAAAAATGAATGTGGCTAGGTTGTATCCCAGACTAAAAATTTGTTTTCTGTGTATCCGCCTCTCTCTGTGTCTTCTCAGATACCCCCAGGGCTGAGGGAGAGGCAGACAGCGACTCAAGGAGTCACTGATCTATGGGAGGTGGACAAAGACTGCTGCTTGCTTGAGGAGTCTGCATTTTGTCTGTTCATTCTTGGATTTATCTTCTGCTTTTAGAGAGAAACTGAATCAGACTGAGGCCAGTCTTATTTTGAGCCTGTCTGCCAAGAGCACACAAAAGCTGGAACAATAAGACCTTTCTTAAAGCGGGGTCTGGATGGAACATCTCTGTGTCTCCAGGGGACTTGATCCCGGAGATAGATACGCTATTGTCTGTGATGTTAGACAGCTCTTGTTCATGGAAAGCTCTTTAGGACATAGAACGATGCCTACCTAGCACAGAGTAGGCACTCAATATATATTTATTAAATAAATGAATGAACATTTTGGAGGTTATTGGGGACAGGGATTACGTTGTATTCATAGGTCCACCCCTATTTGGCCAAGAATACACGTGGAGTCCCGCTTCTGTCTCAATATTTAAGCGCTGTAAGTCAAGTTACAAACTGTTGAGTACCTTCTTTTCTCCTACCTTGGCATATACGTTTTCATAATGAGAAAACAAAAATCTCAGTAAGTGGCCTGCAAACAGTGAGATCATGATGCCTGGACTTTCCCTGGGATGCAGCAGAGGGAGCCCGAAGGCTCAAGGAGAGGGGAATGCTGGAGTGTCTGTTGTTTGCACTATTTCAGTCGCCCCAAGACAGACTACCCCGGAGGGCTCCAGGGACAATCCTTTCACCAGAGCATCAGGAAGGCATTAGGAGCGGGGAGGGTATGGCTCAGTGGCAGAGTGCGTGGCTGTTAAGCATGAGGTCCTGGTTCAATCCCCATTAAAAAATGAAAACCTAATTACTTCCCTCCTTCTCCAAAAAAGTATACAATGCTGTATTTCAATTGTATCTCAGTAAAACTGGAAGGAAAAAAAAGAATGATTGAAAAAAAGAAGAAGGCATTCGGGGTGCCCCAGAATTCTTGAAGAGCTGTCCTTTATAGCTTAGAGATAATGGTGAAAGGCTATGGCATTTGGTCTCTAGATTTCAGTGGTAATAATGGGGTTCCATGGACCAGAAGGGTCCATCAGAAACATCCCTGGGTATTTTGCCATCCTTTTTATTTCCCTGAATCCTGCCCAAACCCTGTAAATGCTCTGTCATTAGACCCTGTGCAGCTTTGGGTGTGCGTCTCGTTCCTGCTGGGATGCTGACAGATGCAGGTCCCAAAGACAAACTCCCCAGGAGGGAGGGCGAGCCTTAGCTGATGACTATAAAAATGTGGGGATTCAGGGGGAGGGCTGGTATGGCTGAGGCTGTCTGTCCCTCTGGATGCAGCCAAACTGGCTGTACTGTTTGGACAGAATGACCAGGCATGGGAATGTGGACCAGGGAGCTTAGCTCAGGCACTTCTCAGCAGACGGGGCCATAGACACAAGAGGGCATCATACACCGCAGGACCAGCCTTCAACAGCGAGACTGTGGGGCGTGAAACCACACTAGCGGGCACACCAGGCTTTGAAATTCTCTCCACCTGGTGTTTGGAAGCAGGACCAGTTCCTTCTGCATTGAGTTAGCCTCTGAAATTCTGGGACTGTTTCATGGGAGAGACACACAGGTCTTTCAATTCAATAAGAACATGTAGATATTTGAGCAACTAATTAGAAAAAATGAACTAGAGATGATGGGAACTGATCTACCAGGCTGGGAAAACCAGTGTCCTAGTATTCATGTCAGTCTATCCGAGCATCCTGGGGTTACATTTCTGCTAGCGACGGTCATTCTAATTTGCTGCCTCTGCCCGTTTCTGCTACCTCACACGTCCCTGCCCTACTACCCCTTTCCAGATTGCATTCCTTCACATCGCCCACCTCCCAGGTGTCTTTATTGCCCCCAAATACCACAGCCACAAGGTGGATTGTGTATCAGATTTTACTGAGGGTCTGGAGTAACATGAAGGGACTGTATGTAGCAGAGCACAGAACAGGCAACAACTTTAAATTGGCCACTGTCTGGAAAGTTCATCACCCATTCCTTGCAGCAAGGAGTTTTTCTCTGATCATATTTTGCCTTAAGTCCTGGATTAGGGCCAGCGCCACAGGCCTCTCTCTCTGATGCTTTTATTTGCTCTCTGCCAGCTTCCAGTCTTCAAAAATTCTCCTTTCTTTTGCTGGATAGTATCTCTCTCCATTCAAAACCCCAAACTTCATCTCAGCCAGCTAGAACTGGTGAAGGTGCTCTGATTACAAAGGACAGCTCCCCCATCTGTTAGCAGCATAAAGCAGCAACAGAAGCTTGAAATTTCAGTTGTGTTTTCCCCCATAATGTGATCAAATGTGTAGCTGGGTCTCCCTCCCTGATGTGTCTCTAAGGTGGAAGGGGTATAATTTAAATATTTATTCTCCACCATCTGGGAAAGCCCTTAGGGTTCATCATATCTCTCTTTTGCTTTCTTTTTTATTTTGAAACATGTATAATAGGAAAAATGAAAGCAATCCAAGCACTTAATAATAGGAGTCTGGATAATTATGTACATACACTGGATGGCATGGGTTACAGCCACTAAAATGATAAATGGGATACTGTAGCAGAAACATGCTTATGATGTGATGTTAGGAGATGTTGCTCTAAATTATGTAACTGATGGCATTTATGAAAAAAACATATCTCGCATGTTGACAAGGATTAGAAGAGCACACATGGGCACACAATGGAAATCACTATCGTCTGGAGGCTTGGATTAGGAGTGATTTTGAAATTTTCCATCTTTTCCTGAAATGTTATTATTTCCCTTTGCCACCAAAAAAAGAGTCAAGAGATAAGGTGGGAAATATTAGCAGATCTAGGTGTGAAAAAGAATTAATTGAGACCAAAGGATCCCCAGGGCAGTGCTTCTCAAACTTTAATGTGCATACAAATCACTTGGCGGATCTTGCTAACAGACTCTTGGGGCCCACCTCCAGAGATTATGACTCTGTGGGTCTGGAGCGGGGTCCATGATTTTGGATTTCTAACCCGCTCCTTAACATTGCAGACGCTCTTTGTCCTTCATCATGGTTTGAGTAGCACAGCCCTCGGGCAGCCTGTGTTTCACTCCTGAGAGCTCTAAAGTATCTCCAGGTGAGTTCTTCAAGACCTCTTCTTGTTCCCTGGGATCTGTTATTAACTGCCTGGGAGTTGGCTGTGACTGACATTGTAAATCCATGCCGATGAGCTTCTCACGGAAGCGCCTGGTGTCTCTGAGGTAGGCTGCAGAGCGTAGGCTGCCGCTGGGTCGGAGGCAATGTTCAAGGTCCTTGCTCTAGGCCCTCCCCTCACTCAGAGCCTCCGGTGCACCTTGGTCCACGCCTTTGCCAACTGTCCCTTTGTGCGTCCCACACAGTGGGGGGAAATGCTGGCTATGACCTGGAATGCCGCTTGAACAGCTGTGGCCTTGTTCATTTTCAGGAGTCACCTAGTGGTGACAGTGCTTTGGAAACCCATTTCCCAGGTGACCTGGGATGGAGTGAGACCCATGGCTGGGATGCAGATGATGGAAAGGGAGCCTTGAACTTCTCAGCTGCAAGTTTCTTCTGATGGGGATGGCAGGCATGCTTGGGAGGGATGGAATAAATGCATTCAGACGGAGGAGTTCAAGCGGTCTAGTTTAACTTCATATTGTGTTTGTGGGACTGCAAATTACAATGATAATTATGTAAATGAATGGACACCATATCCCTGGAGGTCAGGTGCTGGGAGAGGTTGCTGTGAGTATTCCTCTGACCAGGGGTCCTAACCAGGAGGTTTGGCCTGTCAGAGGTGGTCCTGGGAAGTTGAGAAGAGCCCAGGGTTCCAAGCTCTGCAGGGAGTGGGGGAATATAGAACCTCTACTCCTCCCAGCTCAGACCCCTGACTTCTCCTGGGGGTGGGGGGTGGAATCAAGAAAAGACACTAATGTTTGCCATGTTCTCTCATTTCATCCTCACAACAACCTTGTGAGGTAGATATTATTCTCCCATTTTACAGATAAGGAAATTGGGGCTCAGAGAGGCTGAGTTATTTGAGGTCATACAGCAAAGAAGCAGAGGAGTTGGACTTGGGACCAAGTTTGTGGGGCGCTGGTTCAATATTCTTGCTGCAAGATCATAGGTGTAGGTGATGAGGTGGGAGGGGTCAGAAGGGTGGGAAAAGAGGGAGAAGGGAGGCCCCAGGAAGAGTCATTATCACAACTTAGTCCTTG